AATATCATGTACTCCAGCAGCTCCAGGGCAATTCCAAACTTCAGGAGGAGTATCTATGAGAATTTTTGGATCTTTAGCTGTATTCATTATTGAATTCATCTTATTCCATCTTTGGGCCAAAGGACTTTCAACAACTTGACAATATAAAGTCCCTGACATTGGAACGACGATACAATCTTTCTAGACAAACATATGATGAAATTAAACAGAAACAAACATTTTTTTTGTAAATAAAATATTTCATAAGTACCTACCTCTAGAAGTTCCTTGTGGGCATGGTTGAACACCTTAATGGCACCTTCACCAATTAATTCTGTGTCAAATACTTCAGTCACTAGAATATTAGCACGATACTTCAAATCTCCATTTTCTCCAACTATCAAGTCAGTAGAATGCTTCGAAATAACCCTAATTTTATCTTTAAAGCCGTTTTTAGCTGTGATTTTCCTAGCACAATCAGCCATGGGGGGGAAAGCCTGCAAAAGGTTTAAGAATCAGCAATATCGTGAGTTCCCTCCCGTTCCTTACTCTTAATGTGTCAGAAAATAGAATAAAACAGCATATAGTTGCATTCTTAGAAAAAGCAAAAATATTACAAACTACGTACACATTTTTGGAGGTAGATTTCTATTTTTTTAGAAAAAAAACTAAGACAAGAAAAAAAAATTCTAATAAATCTCAAAAATGAAATGCTTCCAAAACAGTAATAAGAAAAGTTGAGGATGTATAGATATGCATGCAATTTGTGTTTGGCAGTAACATTTAACTGACACAATGTGTAATGACTAATGATATTCTGAAAATATTTCCTAAAATACATCAGAGACTTGATACAAACCTCACAAGCTACAACGGTATCTGCACCACATGCAGCAGCCATCATTGATAATAATCCAGTTCCTGTACCAATATCAAGTACATGAGCCTTTTGTCCCAATCTGTGTTTCGTTTCAACAGCTCTTCTAATCGCTTTGTAATACTTTTCATTCTGCAAATATTTTTCCCCCTTATTTAATAAATTACATTTGTTACATTATAAAAATATTAATTTTGATACTACTATATAATTGTCATCTATCCTGTGATTTGGTTGGATGCAATTAAGCTAGGAAATATATTCCACAATCATAAAGAAATCCTAGTTGTGACCATGTTAGTGAGTAATAATGAATTTTAATAATTGAATTTGTTCAATTCTTTGAATTATTTATTTGTGTTTTGCAGTCACCTTCAACTGAAGCAATGTGTAATGACTAATGATATAATAAAAATTCTTTGAACAAATTAAATTAGTCACTACTTTAGGTAAAGAGTTCATTTACAGAAACAATCGAGTAAAAACACAATTTAAAAGTACAACTGGAATTCTTTAAATTTTATTTAATCAATGTTAGAAATTAATTGTAATTTGTTAAAATTACCTGAACCTATTAATTTCAACAATGATATTCAGTGTTAAAGTACAACTTGTTTGTGACAAATTTCAACTAAATTCTTTTAATAATATGTAACAAACATTATACATCAAGAAAATAGTGATATTTGTATACATTTTATAAACAATTAAAAATACAAACAATTAAGCGGGCAAACTTTACAGCTCAGCATGTTTAAATTTTGGTATTTAAGTGATTCAAATGTATGAAGATATGTTTTTAACACTGAAGAAGAAAGAAAACGCTAAAGAAGATTCTGAATAATCCAGAAATGTAGGTCATAAAATTTCTATGGATATCTTACGTGATTTACATTCTAAACAACAAGAACAGTAATTTTGAGCTTACAAGCTTCAGCTTAAATAAAGGGAAAGAAAAACTATACACCAAATACATAAACTACTTGCTCGTTCAGTATCGTGAAGCATATCAGCAAATGCTGATCTAGCAATCTCTTGGTGAAAATCATAGCTTTCATCTTGAAGTTCCCACTCTGCCTGCCCTGTGAGGGGATTAATCCTCTTCGTGAAGACACTCATATTTCTGACAATTCTTTTCCCACAATGTTTTCTTAGTGACAGGTAGCTATATCTACAACACATGTTGGAAATTAGTAAACAATACACTTCTCCTTAACAAGAAAAATATGCGTCAAAACCATTAAAAACAAACAATACAGAGGGGCCCAAAATATTGAAAACTTGATCATAAAGCAAAGATTTAAACTCTTGTAGAAAAAAAAAAACTAGAAAAATCCACAGCAATAATCTAGTCCAGGTGTTGGTTTGAGTTCTAGAGAAAAATTTAATTGGCAAGCATGACCGTACAGTGTGTGCAACATATTAATTAGTTGAGAGTAATTTTACTTACTATTTCACTTTACCTATAGGCTTCGTCCAAACCGCTACATTCAGTGCAGTGTGAATAAGAATTTTGAGTTAAACTTCTGTAAACGTTGTTTTGATTTTTCTACAGTAGTTCATAAAATATTCTTTGACACCGACACTTTAAAATCTTCGCATGATCTTTAACGATATCGTTTAGTTATTTCAAGCTTAAAATATATTCACAATTTTCCTCTCAAGAATAAAACTACGTTTCCATACCGCCGGAGAAATATTTACAGAAAATACTGCATTTGCAAAAACCTAAAATGCGCATGCGGGTTACTGGACGTCCCTAGAGCGAGCATGGGACGCGCTCCCTAGTGTTTGAGGTTATAAATATTCCTTGAAGAGAAATCACAAGTCATATTCCTGCTGCGTGTAGAGGTGCTTTTCGAGGGAAGTATTCTCCAAAGTTTGACATTTCTGCAGTTTGGAAGAAAACGAAGTTTCTGTGAACGACAAATTACATTTCAACATAGTGTATTGTCTTAGATTTGACTGTGCAGTATAGATATTTTAACATGGCGACTTCCACGGGAGGTGTGGGTAAGTGTTTCTGTACAATATGCGTAATATTTTGTTATTCGCATTGAAGCTTTTGGTTTTCAAGCCGTAAACAAATTTAGACTCTCGGGATACTCTTCATGAACAATATAATGGGTTGAATGTAGTTGAAACTAACTAGGATAAAGTTCACCGTGTAGTACGCAGCGATGTACCGGTGTACGCCTCACCCGCCATTTCCGGAAGATTGTAAGAGCTATATTTTAAAGCCGATCATTCTTATAATTGAGGAATACTATTAAAGCAGTATGTCAAATAGTGCACGTCAAATTGTGTCCCGTGTCTGATCTGGAGTGCTTCCATTTTTTGGTGTGGTGAATTTATTATTTTACTTGCTTGTTGATACATACATCTTTTTGACACATGCACTTACCAATTTCAAATTGTTTCTCCAATATTCCAGTTGTTCCTCGTAACTTTAGACTTCTTGAAGAACTAGAACAAGGCCAAAAAGGTGTTGGTGATGGAACTATTAGCTGGGGTTTAGAAAACGATGATGACATGACTTTAACACATTGGACAGGCATGATCATTGGACCACCCAGGGTAAGATTTAAGAATCAGAGGATCTTCTTATTTGTGTGTAGGTCACACATGTTCATTTAATTTTGTTTTCAGACTCCTTATGAAAACCGAATGTACAGTTTGAAAATTGAATGTGGACAGCGATATCCAGATGAATGTCCAAGTGCAAAGTTTATTTCTAGAATCAATATGAATTGTGTGAACACAACTAATGGAGTGGTAAGTTTTTTGTGGTAATAAAATGTTTAATCTTTGCGTTTTATTTGCTCCTGTTAAATTTTGATGTGTTTTTTCAATACAAGCTTAAATTCAAGTCAATTTTACATTGTGAGTAATATAAGTATTTTTTTGTTGTTGTTAAATATTAAATTCTTTGCTTCAGTAGCTGAATAAAATTGAAGCTCTCAAGCCACACTCTTTGTTGGCACTGCAGAAAGTGCAGATTGGGCTACTATGTGCATTTTTCCCTAAAAATGCTTTGGTCATTTTGTGTTGACCAGAGTTGTTTTATCTACATCATGGAGGCCAAAGGCTGGTGCCTCTTTGTTAACCCAGCATTGCACAAGCAAAGAGAATGAACTTGACCATACAAATTATTTGGTATAAAAGGTGTTTGAATTTTACAAGTTCCAGAGATTATGATTATTTTGATATACCTTAATGTCAAAAACATGCAGTACAAAAACATAGTGAACTTTCTCTGTGACAATAATCTTTAAACTGTGAAAACAATTCTGATATTAAATTTTTTATTTTATTTTAATTCATCGCTGAAAGAACTGTTATATCCAAGTGTTAGAAATGTAATTCCCATCACTGTAATGGATATGACAAACAAACATTGTACTACTACACAATGATACATTCTGAAGGAGAAAAACAAGGTCAAGGTCACAGAAAAGTACAGAATTGCAGGTATGAAACTGTGATAAAAATGAATTTTGTTATTCAGAATAAATTACTGTCACTAACAGTTGGCAATGTTATTAATTGTGATTGAAAAAAGGCTCCACAAGATTTTACAGATTATTACCTTTATTAAATTTCAAGTAGAATTTTCCTAGTGTTTGTATTGATATAAAAAATGTGATACTGGCAATTGTTACTGTTATGATTTCCTTGTAAATTTAAATTAAAATCTGTATCATACAATATTTTTCATTTAAAGTGGACAACTTGGTATTGAATAATGCTTGCAATTCTGAGAATCTCCCCCTTTCACAAATCTATGGTAAAGGTAGAGAATCCATAACACTTTCAGGGAATAGCGATTGAGAGGGGAGGAAAGGAATAAGGGAGAGAGTACATAGTTCCTTATGCACAAAAAACTGTAGAAAACTTACACATTCTGCATTTGCGTCTTTTAATAACTAAGAAACTCACACAAGTGTGCATAGAATTTAGAGTTCAGTCTTTGGAGCTGTGCTCTGTAAATGTTTTGTTGTTTTCCGGCCATGAAAGCAAGTGATATTAGGACACTTTTTGTTACATAGTTTGCAATGCATAGATCTCTGGTGGTGTGATATGTGGTAGTGTTGCAGGGTTCATGGTGGAAGCTGTTAACCGCTAATCTCTTTACTACACTCCTCATTTCCGGGTTTGGTTTTGTCCAACGTCTATCATGGTCTATCTATTAAGGTCTTGTGAGTCTCTGATAAACTAGTTTACCTTTCTATACTAAACAAGTGAAATAACTACAAAACAGCATATATTTCACTTACTTCTCTGTTTCTGTTGAATTTTTATGTCCTATGTTTATGGACTAGTTGATTGCTTCACTATAAGCACTAAAAGTAGATGATGATGTGAGCCTTTGCGGGGAACATAAAACATCATTGGCAACACACAATTACCAACGTGGTTTTAGGAAAACTAGCATAAAACCTTATGTCAAAATCCATGGGATAGTAAATAGGTTAATTTTTTATCTTTTCCCTTTGGAAATTCAATTATAGCCGTCTTACTTTCTACCCATTTTTCTGAGTTACTTTTCACTCTAAAAATCCAATTACATCCATCTTACTGCTATGGTCCACTTCGCATACACCAAGAACGTCACAAGACAGGGCAGATATAACACTATCCCTGACCTTTGAATGCTGACCCTCAAAACCTTGCTTTCCCATTCAATTTCTCTTTGCTTGAGTGCTGTGAAACTGCTTACTTAAATGACTTCCTTGGGTTGATCCATATTCTGTGTTTCAACCAATTCTAGCATCCTGTCAAAAATTAGGAAAGAACATACCTAACATTTCTTGTGATTTCACCTTAACATTTGTTTATAAATTGTTTTCACTATATCTGTAGAGATTTTAATAAAATCATTTTATTATAATAATGAAATATGAGTGTGTTTATTACTATTAACTTCAATGTTGTGATGTTACAGAAAAGAAATGGTATTTAAAACTATTGTGGGTTTTCTCTTTTATACTCTTTATTTTTCAGTGAAGGAGGGAAATCTGTAATAGAAAGACCATTTGTGAACATCTGGAAGTTTATTTAAAATTTGTTGACTGTTTTATGCATTTGATTTCAATATGTGTAGTTAAAGTACCTTCAACATTGTGAGTTGAAGTAAATTCAATTGATGAATTGGGAATATATATTATACACAACATGTAATGACTGCAAAAGAAGTGCTTCTTATTGACCTCTTAACCACTTATTAGATTGTAGGATGAAGGTGGATAGAAAATTTTTAATTATTAAAATATAATATTTATTCACAAAAAGCACTTTGAAACTTGAATAAAAAAAATATATTGGATAATTTTATCAAAGATTGTCAACAACAAAATTATACCCATTGTACATCTTGGTGTAAGTTTATCAGTCAATTCATTTTGTGTTAATATGTACTTGGCTGCCTGAGAGTCCAAGGCACAGGTGCCGATGTTGCATTATGCTCTGAGGAAGGTCGCCGAATTGCGACCAAAACGTTGGCACCCATACCTGGGGCACGGCATCTCCCAGGCTCCTGTGCCCTGGACAACCAAGTACATACTGATTTTGGCCACAGAAGCCTATGCTCTCTTTTTGTGTTGCAATAGGCATTTGATTATTTGTATGAAGGAACTTTGTTTGGAAATTGAAACCACAATACTGAGTTATTACAAGGTGTGTGTGTTGTTGTTGTTGTTTTTTTTTTATAGCAAAGAAATAATTAATAAGAATTTTGTCTCCTCAAATAATGTGGTGTTCCTTGTAGGAATGTGTATGACACGTAGAAAACTTTTGATTGGCCTCTTGTGAACAAAATAAAAACCCTCCCCTCTTCTAAATAGTTTAAACTTCTTTTCTGTCATAATTAACTCGTCGATTTTCTCAGTTCTTTATTAACCTCATTTTGAGACGTAAATGTCATACACATTATTATGAAATGTTCCTTCCAAAACAAACTTTTGTGGAAATGGTGAATTAGTGCTTCTTACATATAATTTTTACACATCTTTATTTGTTGTGGGCAGTTATTGTGTAAAAAAACATTTTTGATAACCATAATTTAGTATTCATTTACCCCACCCTTTTAAAATTTATATTTATATTTTATTCTCCAGGTGGACAGTAGAGCTGTTCCTGTGCTAGCAAGATGGCAGAGGGATTATACAATTAAGACTGTACTCCAGGAATTACGAAGGATTATGACATTGAAAGAAAATATGAAACTAACTCAACCTCCAGAAGGCAGTTCATTTTAGCAACCTTGCATCAACTGTGGGAATATCTGCAACCTTGTGGCAAGAAAGAGATCACGAGAATGTAAATGACAAGAATATTCACTTTGGTCTTAAAAGAGCAATGCATTACATAATACAAGTATGTTTCCAAAGATAGCCATATGTTAGTAATGCACATGCTGTCAACTTCTTTAAGCATTCACCTGTATTCAGAGATGTTTAGGTACTTCAAATATGAAATTCTATTAATTGGCTCTGTTTACGCTACAGTTTAGAATTATTGTTTGTTAATTGCAATGCAAGATGATTACATATGTACTGGCTAAATTAGCGTTTTCTGAATAAAGGCCTAAAACTTTAGCTACATGTAACTTGTTTTGCCTTTGTTGATCAGTTGTCCATTGCCAGTTATCACTATGAGATTAGTTGTAATTTTGTTTGCATGTGCCTCTTGATCTGGACACAAATGTAACCAAAAAAAAAAAACCTGTGATGTAGAGTTGACTTTTTCCTGTACATTAAAGATGCTTAAAAGTACAAACTCTTTGACTGTAGCTAATGCACCTAAAATTGCAAAAGGAAATGGGATTTCTTACCCTGTGTGATAATCTCCTCTTGGCACAGTTCTAGGCCTTTGTATGTAGTTTGATTCAACACAGTTGCTTTCAGTGTGTAATATTTCTCTGAGAATTTAATAATGGATTCTGCAAAACTTAAACAATTACCAGAGTTGATAAATACAGATATTCTAAGAATTACATCTTAGAGTATTGCTGATGTATGACTGAAGTTTGTACTTGTTTTGTAGTGTTCCTATTGTCTCAGTGCTTGCAATGAAAATGTTAGTGATGTAAATGTGGCACTTAAGCTTAAATGGATATTATTGGTACATAATTGGAGTCATCCATATTTGTACTAGTTCGTATACCTATATTGATAACGAAGATTATGAATTGATCTTCAATGGGATGTGTTCCAGCTGACATAAATTTTCTAATTGTAAACTTTAATGAAATCACAGAATGTAGATCCTCTAAGTATAGTCAGTAGCATAAGCTAACTTTTTACTGAAGTTTTAATTGTATTATGCATTTTTGTCCTGGTAGTCTTTAATGACATTTTTCGTATGCTTTATTCTACTTGAATCTCTCTCTGAATACAGCTGATTTGTCGTTAATTGAGGGAATACTATGTATTTCCTAATGAATTGGCTTTTTTTTTTTTTTTCCTTTTACGATTTGCCTTAGAATTGAGAGTTCATACTCCAATAGCATCACTACAGCCCTCATGAAAAATTAAGTTTGGCTTTGATATTTGTGCACTTCCTTACTCCACTTATTTGAGCAGACTGACTGGAATCGGGAAGTGTTTAAAGTAGCATTTTTATCTGCTTCTGGAAAGATTGTAACTTTTTGTATCAGTATTTCAGGGCATGATACTCTTCAATGGTTTATTGAACCATCAAATTTACAAGTTACAAAGTAAACCTTCCAAGACATGTACATTATGAGTTCTATATTGGGAGATGTAAACAATGTTGCAATGTCAAAACTGATCTTGCATAATCAATAAAAAAATTAATGTCAGCACTGTTTATCCTTTTTTTTAGGATAAGGATGGGAGAAAATAAAAAACACAAGTCACCTCATTTCATTAATATTTACACAAAAACATTTGCCAACATGACAACGATCACAACAAAAGAGGAAACAAATGTCCTTATATTCCTGATTTGTGTAACTACTCTCACTTGCCCCTACAAGTTCTGAACCAGTCAATTAATCTACTGTTTTGTGGGGGGCTTAAAAGCTATTTTGCGTGACTTCATCACTGTCCACTTATGTCGTTTAATGTAGTATGAAATGGCCAAAAGTGCACCAAAAATATACAGTGCCTGCAAAAAAACAAATCACTAAATTAAATAACATTAAGTTTGAACAACCTCAAAGCAACTTCAGTACAAATGAAGTTAAGTAAGTTTACATTAAGCAATTTTAGTTGCCTTTATGCCAACTAACAGAGACTAACCTTAAGAACCATCCTCTTGCGATCGTCATGCTCTGGCTCTGCAGCCCATTTTAAAAATGTACACACATCCTTAGCTAGCTGGCTGGCAGTGGGTGGAGTTCCATCTGTATATTCCAGAACCTATAAAAAAAATCATTCCAAATATAAGCATAGATTGAATTGAATTGATTTCACTCTGAATTTGTTGTATACTCTCATCAGTTATATACCTCATTATAAAGAGCTTGGGCCATACTGATAGCACCTCCTGGAAAGTATGGATTGAAGTATTGACCATCCCTGAGTACTACACCAGCTGGGGCATCACAATAACCCGTTAACAATGCAAACACATAATCCTGGAACAAGCAAAGGCTGCAATGTGCTGCTTACAGAGTAGGGCAAATCATACTGTACAACTCCAACTTACCTCTCCCCCATGCCGAGCCAAAGTAATGTAACTAAGGTCAGGAGGGAAGGCTCCATTGTTGGCGGCTCTTGCAGCTTCTTCATTGGGATAAGGGTTAGGGAAATAATCGGACAATTTCCCTGGTCTCATGAACATATTTCCATTTTCATCAGGACCATCTTGAACCTTAAACAAAGATTCATTGATCACAAAAATTCTTCATTTCTGTAATCTGCAATAATCAATAACTTGTTACCTGGACTTCCTCTGCCTCAGCTTTGGCTTCTGCTTCAGTATGTGATACTCCAACTAAATTACGATATGCAATAAATCTCATGCTATGGCAGGCTGCACATACTTGCTTGTACACTTCATATCCTCGACGAATACTGAAATATTTTGTCAGAAACTAAATAAAATGATAAAAGTTACGAGTATTTATTGAAGGTATTCTACAAACCTGGCATGGTCTAAAGATGAGAAAACCCCATTGTGGCTCCATGGATTTTTAGGTGGATGAAGTTCTAAATCCGAAGCTTTGACAGATTGCTCAAGTGCAAAAAGAAGAGCACCCGCTCCACCTGATAAGGCTCCAATAGTGGCATATAACTACAACCAAATATACATTTTCAAATGGGTATAAATATACTCATATTATATTAAACATTGTATTAATATACGTTTAACAAATTATTAAGTTAACTAATTTTATTTTAGATTTATCTTACTGACCGTTTTCCGACCTTTTGTCCATCCAGCTGCAGAGGAAAAGCAATTAACCTGAAACACACGAAGTTCATACAATGAAGATCAAATAGTTTAATAAATCGAAGAAGAAGAATCCGTTCCTTTTTTTCTGGAATATTGAAACAATGTCACTATCGGTGAACTTTCTTAAGGAATATTTGGTACAAAACGGCGAAATTGATCATTGACCGCAAAGTCCGCCCCACTAGTTTGAACAAATTTATCGGGCTATGCTTGAAATGTTATTCAGAAATTGATCTAACAATTAAGTAGTATTATGGCAAACAATGGTAAAAAGTACCTGATTTCGAACAACAACAGGATTTGTTTTTAAAAGACTTGATCCACAAATCCTCCCTACTGTAGCAGCCATGATGGTCAGAAGGTGAAGAAATTGTGAGCAAGTCGAATGTGCTGATCGATTACTCTAGTATTTGTAAAATATTGGATTTTTAAGATTCTAGTTGAAATACATCAATTGGCTATTAATTTATAATAACAATATTTTACATAAATAAATATATTTAATTCATTTTATTTTCTCATGCATAAAAATTTTGACGTCACACTTTCGACCTGTGTTCGTACGCCATTGGTGTCGGGGAGGAGGCTTTCGGTGTTCAGTGCAGATGGTTAAGTGATCCAGACATTATCTGTGGAATCAGGAGGTGCATCGCATTTATTCAAGATGAGTACAGGAATGCCCGAACTAGGAAGCAAGATAAGTTTAATATCGAAGGCGGATATTCGATATGAAGGAAGATTATTTACGTTGGACCCACAGGAATGCACAATAGCATTGGCCAATGGTAAAATAAAAATGGAGTCATTGGTTTTGTTTTCGTTCTCAGCAGTTTCTGTTTCACTGTAAATGTTGGAATTCTCTCTCGAGTTATGTTAAATGCAAGATATAACTTTCGAAGTAGGCCTTATATTTTAAAGAGGAAAGCTTCTCTTCATTTTCTTTGTTTTTGTAATTGTATTCTTGAATTCTAACCAATTTGACAGATGCGTCAATTTTATGTATAGTGTCAGATCGAATCGGAGTAATTTGGGGTTCTGCAACGGGCAAGAAAGTCTTGCAGGGCAAATTCTTTCGAGAGTTATTAGCATTTTCTGAAACTTTCTTTTTCAGTTCGATCGTTTGGAACAGAAGATAGAGAAACACAGTATCGTGTTGCGCCACAAAACGAAGTATACGATTATATTTTATTTCGAGGATCTGATATTAAAGACATAAGGGTAGTGAACAATGTTGGTCCTTTACCAAACGATCCGGCGATCGTACAGGTACCTTCATGTCCAGAATGCTTTATACATATTTCTTTTATATGCTTGAATCAGATGGTCACCACTATAATCCTTCCAGTTGTCAGTGCCTCCTTCAGGCCTGGCGTCATCGGCCTACCCAACACAAGGATTCTCACACCCTGTGCTGGGTCACATGGGTCCTGGGTTGACACAGTATCCTGCTTATGGTGGCATGGGAGCTATGACAGGTCTTCCGAGTGCTGTTGCTCCTGGTATGAGTCTTCACCGGGACCCACATTCATTGCCCAAGCAGAGTGAGTTAGTAATGCCAGTACAGGTTCCAGATCATCAAACCAACAAAGACCAAGGTGTGAAATACATACTTACTTGCTTGACGCTTCAGCATGTCATGCTTGCTCATAGTTGCTGCATCATTTAAGAAATTCTTTAATATCCATTGCCACAGTGCAGGTAATAGCAAATACCATTAGGTAATGGGGCATGTGATTTGCTATAGGTGTGATAATTTGAATGTAGAGCTCCTTTAATTTTTTTTTTTACTACAGTAACTAGTGAATTTATTGTACATGAGATATGGGAAAATGGTTTAAAAGGACTTAATAGCAAGCTTTCATTTGTTAATGGTGGGTATTCTTTAAATCTGTTCTTATCCCTCAGACAAAATAATTCTAAGAACTCCATTGCCTTTGATCTTGTTTATATTTAGTACTTTTTATTTTAAACAACTTGTAACTATTTTGCAGCTTGCCTGGTATATAGCAATTATTAGAATTAAGGATATGGCATTGCTAACCAAGCATGAAGTTTAAAATTAAAACATGAATGTTTAAAATACATCACACGCCAGCCATCAATGATTTTAAAACTTTTTCAACATTTGTGTATGTGGACATAATTAGAATGTGGTCATGTTTATTAATTTATAATTGGGATTTAAGACAAAAGATATAGAGATTAGAATTATTAACAAAATATGTATTATCTGTTTGGTCAATATAAAAATAAGACTACATTTATTGACAAAAACTCTACCAACCTTTGTAACTGGTAACTTTGTTCTGAAGAAAGATTTAGAGGTATTTGAATTTATTAGTATTATCATTATCATTAGTTGACCTTCTTTCAATCAGAAATAAAAGATGAACCATTTATAAAACATGGTCTTGTGTAAATGTTAAATACCAGTTTTTTTAAAGAGTTTTGAAAACAAAATGGCCTGTGACTTCATTCTTTGTGATTATTTCTTATGACAGGTTTAGGCTGTATGTTCTTAATAAAGTTCTGTCCTGTGCTTCATTATTTTCATTGTTTTGGAAAGACTAAGAATGTTTCAATCATGTGTGTTATGAATAATTGAATTGAATGGTGTGGCATAAAAAGCTTGTGGAGTAGTGACTGTAAAGGTTTACGGCAACTTTGTGATAGTGCATGCGTTGAGAAAAGTTACTGAACAATTTTGAGACGTGCATAAATTTAAGTTCCTACTGTTTCGTACATTTATCATGATGAATTACTTGTAGTTTGGAAAACAATGAAAACGATAATTGGATGGTTGGGCTCTCAATATTGTGTACTAACACCTAAATGGACAGATGCTTAATTTTGTTAAGAATTTTTTTCCCTCCCTTGATATTTTTATGTTATATTTATATTTACTTCATATTATTTTTTAGTTGGGTTGTCAAATATGGTGTGTGGAAATACTGGCCAAATAGCTAATGATACTTAATGCTTATAATGCACCTTCTGAAGTATAGTACAGTTCATTGTCTGAACTTCATTTTTAGGGGCTTGTTTTAAGTAGTTTCGTCCAAAAGTTATCGTTCTGAAACAAGGACTCTCTACTTTTCAGCAAGTGAAAAATTATATAATTGAATTTCTAGAGTAATTTTGTAGATAAGTCTGTGTTTAAGCATTTTTATATATGAATTGATGGGTCATGTAATAACTGTAACCAATTTTATGAGATTGAGATATGAGATTTCATCAAATTGATGGGTCCAAATATTGTTACCCTGATGTTAATGTTAAAAGAAGAAACACTCATTAAAACAGTAAATGTAGTGAATTTATGGCTTATCGTTCATTCTTTTTGCAAGACATGGTTTTTCTTGTATTCCTGAAGTAAGACCTGTTCCTGAGCAATTTTATAACAATTTTCTGAAATCCATTGGTTACTAAATTTGTATTTTATTTAAGAAAAAAAAATTTTTTTTTTTGAATTGGTCTGTTCATGCTTGAAATGGCCACACACAAAACTACAAATTGATTTTGCTTAGCCGTTACATGATAGACTAAAGTACAAATCAAGAGAGCAAATAATTAGTATAATTCCAGAGCATTAGAACTAAGACTAAAGGTAGTTATAATAATGGCGCTGCTTTAATTATTATAAATTCTTAATTTTTCATGAATGTTGCTGTTATATGGGAACATTTATCTAAGCTCAAAAATCGTGCCTCCTTTTTTAAATATGTTAAAAAATCTTTTAATGTTTTGTGTTTTTTAAAAATAATTTCAAGTCAAATCAATTAACTTGTATACATTGAAATTTTAACTAAATATTTTGATAATTAATTAAATCAAATTAAAGAATTAAATTTAATTGCAATAAATACATACAAACAAGCTCAAAGAACATCTACAAGCCCTAAAAACAATAATCTCATAATATCAAATTCAATATTCCAATTATCATTTAAATTCAATTAAAATCAATCAATTAAAAAATAACAGCTATTTTTCTCATCTCTTGTAAAGTTCGGATGTGAAGGTTCTTAGAGATAAAGTTTATTAAGTAAAGGTTATTCAAAGGCAATCTTTTTACGTGATGTTGAACTAGCAGTGTATAGTTTTAGCAAATAAATATAATTTCTTGAAGTAGAGAGAATATGAAACCTCAATAGTTTCAGCAAAAGTGGCCAATCACTTCATTAACTAATTTGTGTAAAAATTGTAGATCATTATAGTTTCTCAATGGAGGATAGGGAGGGAATACCAAACTGACACGAAATAGTTAAATACTTGCGGTTTTTAAATGGATCAGGTAAATGTAGATTATTGATGCCGTTCTAAAAAATATGTTGGACAGTTTTCAATATTTGAACATGGGTTTGACAAGAGGAGGACCATAGTTGTCAAATTAAGACCAAATTTGTGGTTTCAATTTATTCATATAACTTGGCTATTACCCTTAAAATTGATATAGAGAGGTACTTATTCCTCATTTTTTATTTTTTTTAAGGAATTTCTTATAATGATTTATCAAAAATAATTTTCAAAATTTGTGAAATACCATTTGGACCTGCTCTAAAATGTATGTCTAGTAGTTGGGTTAAATGGTGTTGGGTCATCAAGGTGAACCGATAAATTCCTGTCAGAGATCTGCTGAAATTTCAGGGCTTAAATTTCTCAACTTGCTAACAAATACGAAGAGAACAAAGAAACGTAGCCAACCGTTAAGTTGTTTTGTAACTTTGTTGCACGTGCCCTCTTTGTAACTTTATTATCCAATCATAATATTAATCAAAATGTAGGTTATTAGTAATGATAGGGTATGAAATAAAAATAATAATAATTTACTTGTTCATATTAACTAGATATGACAAGTCTTGAAGCAGGCATACATAAGTAAACGTTCAATATTCTTTCTCTTAAGTTTTCATTTTTTTAATACAATTGTTGTATTCTCAATTATTTACATTTTATATAGTTAATAGAATTGACAATCTTATATCTAAATTGCTTATCCTGAGTAAATAAAATATCTTATCTTATAGTAAGACTATATAAATATTGTAACATTGCTCTATGTTAGTTGCTTTAATTTATAAGGGCAAGTTTCAATTAAGTAATTTTTTAGTGTTTTTTTGAATTTATTTTTGCTTAACTCGTTTATAAGTTGCCTACTTTATTGAAGAGTATTGCAGTATTTTGATAAGGATCCTGTTTTGCGGAGTATTTTAGTGTACATCCTGTGATAAGTTTTCCTTTCCTATTACAAGGTGGTGGTTAATCCTTGGATGCTCTTTATTATTACTTGGCAGTATTGCATGTATTGTAATTTCAACGATAAAAATAATTTTCTTTATGAATTAACTTAAATAAGTAAATAAAATTCCTCAGTAAAACTCATAAGTAACCATTTGTGTTCAGAATTTCAAAAGCTCTCTTCCAAACCTATTTATTTATTTATTTAATGTCAAAACCAGTTAAAAAGTGGTTATTACAGTTATAAACAGGTGTGTGGTAGTAGCCTTCGTAGAAACTTTCAAAGCTCTGAAATGTTTGTAAAATACGAACATTTCAAGTGCTTCAATCCCTTGACTTAACATTAGAAAATTTGGCATTCATTTATATAGCTATATCTTGTTGTGGGAGAATATGTGAATTTCTAATTTTGTTATCAGAGAATGTAAATTTACCTTGGGAATCCCCTACATAAAAGGATATTGTTTGCAGGGGTTTGTTTGTAGTTTGAAGTAGAACTTCTGTAGGTAGGTGGAAATTAACATGAAATAGGGTGCTGTTGCAATGAATATTGAATGTCCTTAAATATCTGAATGAACAGACCCTTGGTTTCTGTGGGTAATTTTTACCTGCCTCGTTGTAATTACAGTAAAACGGTCCAGTGTAGTGCCATCTGTTTTAGATTTTATCACGGGCTCCAGATCAGCTACACCAAGCTTAATTATAAGGAAATCTCCAACAATGGACCAAGGAGTACAAGTGAACCAGATTGGTATGGCACCAGTTAAGGACACTAAAAAACTGCAACAGGTGCCACCTCCAGCACAGCAAGGTCGTGCTGTAAGGTCCTCTGACATGTCTCGTGATGGGTAAGTTGTGTATTGTTTGCTGTAAAGAGAAAATTATTTCACATAGTGGAAGATATAAAACTGAGCAATTAACATGTTGGTAGTGTTCTAATGTGCTTCGTCGGATAATTTCAACAGACAAATGAATGACAATCTTTGCAACATTGACAAATGAATGACGATCTTTGCAACATTGACAAATGAATGACGATCTTTGCAACATTGACAAATGAATGAATTAATATTTTCTGAACCTTTGGTCTTCTTAAAATGTTATTTCTTATATACTGTATTTATGCAAATCAGTAGCTTTGTTTCTGTATCTATAATTGGGCAACTTGTTGAAAAGCTATTCAGGTTAAGGGGTGAATTGTTAAACTTCTTTTCACCTTCAATTAGGTGATACTGAAGAACTCTTGTAAATAACTTTTTTCAAATAGTGATATGCTGTCGAACAAATCACAAAATGATTTTCCAAAAACTGGTATTCACACAGCGTAGTAACAACAAATTAGTTTTGTGTAACTACAATAAATTAAATTTTTGTTAACAAAGTTATTCCAAATACCTTAATACATTGTGTTGGTTACAAACTATAAAAAATTCTGTCGTTTCATAGCAATGATATGAATAGTAAACATTTAAATAGGTGGGATTATCTTTGGAGTCTTGTTGTCGCACATTAGCTGTGTGGTGAACAGTGATGCAATGAGAATGAGAATTTAGTTGATATGCATTGTGAGAATATGGGATGGGCAGAGTTACACTATCAAATATTTGCGTTTTTCAGTCAAAATTGAAATCATTGCTTTGTATAATTTCAGAGCTCTTGGATATCTAACAAAACCATACAAATATCTCGCATAGCTTGAGGTTGCAGTTATACTGCGATTTATGCAACTTTGCCCCTGGCAGATATAGACTGCCGATGGTTTCATCCAATAGGGAGCTGAACGTCACCACAGCTAATCTCCATCTTCACAAAAGACAACTCCCTAAATCTGAGAATTACCAAATTAGCCACACTATCTTTTCCTTCTGAATGGTCTGAATTTTCATATAATTCTAGTTCAGTTTCTCTACATTCCTGTGCTTTGTTGATTGCTAGTCAATTAGGAAAATTGAAAGTACAATTTTGTCTTAGTTTCTTAGTATTTTATTAATTGTCATCACACACATTTTGTATTGCAAATTGGTTGTTGCATTTTTATGTAATTGCATTGGATTTTGTGGTCAAATGGTCACACCAATTAATGAATCATCCTGCATTAGACTCCCTTCTCTTCACTTTTTGTGCAGTTCCTTCAATGCATCGTTTACCAGTTCATTGTAAGGAAAAGGTCTCTTTGCATATGGGGGCAACTTCAAAAGATGAAGTAAAATAGACAAATTTCTGATCTAGAACCCTCTAGCAGTTAATTGTTTGTAGTTGTACAGTAAAATCTAAACCGAAATAGATAGGGGCAAAAAAATATTCCTATTAAGGGAGGTTTGCGTGTTATGCAAGGTTGTATATTTTGACACTTATTATATTGATATTTCCATCCCGGAATGAATAAAATACGTGTATGATAATATATTTTTATAATTACAATAACATTATGGAAGGAATTGCCAATAAATTAATATTAAACATGTTTCTGACAATTGAAAGAAAAATCTTCACAACTTGTGTACTAAAATAAAACAATATTTTTCAAGATTCATCTGAAGATTTTTGGTTTTCCACTTACTGACCCAGACCCTATTATCTTTACATCTTTCAATCCCCGGGCCCCATAATGCTGCTGTCTCTGACCGCTGCCAATTCCTGCATCTATATTCGTACTCATTCTGGTGTCCATATTCTCCCTTTGTCCAAATTCCAAATAAGTACATTCAGAGTGTTTAAAGTGTAACTTTTCCTAAATTTTACTCTTTTTTTATAAAATCCAATGTGAAATCAAGACTTCACCTCAGTCATGGTGTTGCGAGTTCAAAACCACAAACCAGTTTGTCTGTGTGTGTTGTTGCATTGGTCTTTCTACTTTGCGCAATTTGAAAACAAATGAGTCTCTTCGTCAAGCTTGCTGTACATTTGTACATTCCAATTAATAAATGTCTCTAAATGTTTCTCTAATTCCTTCTTTGCATTAATTTCTAATTAAAAATCCAAATAATAATATTAATTACCTTTCCCTTTTCCAAATTCCTAATCTTAGTTATTCATAAATGTTTATGAAATCGCTCATCACTTGTTAAACACATTCAATTGTCTTTGCCTATTATAAGAACATTTATGTAATTAAAGTTCAAATTTTTAAAATTATGTTAAACCTTACTACTCCACGATTGTACCTTTGACTGTTTGTTTGTTTCTTTATTAAAATATGTCCATATCAGTTATTTTGTCCAGTATTAAAATTCGTTGGGACTCGTGTGAATGGACCTTTAAAATATATAAAACTGCCTGAGTATAAACTGCCTTTCTACATTTTCAAATGGTCCACCTCCTGAATTTAATTGTCACAGAATAGAAATGTCATGCATCACAATGTCATAATTTCTACGAAAACTGCTTGCTCAGTTAGATGCTGCCCTATAGACATAGTAATGAAACAAGTTCCAAAATGAGCATGAGGATATATATTGGTATATCCTTGAGTGTTAAAGTAATTTCAATATCTGGGCTTTGTACAGGAAAGCAGAGTACATCTGGGAACATTCTTAGAATTAAACAGAAGAGAATGGTGAATGTTTTGACTTGCAAAAAATATTTTTAGTTTTTTGTATTCCAGCGTTATAAAAGAACCTTTTCTGTTGCAAGAAATCTTTCATAATGGGGCATTTTACAGTACAAATGATGCCATATTAGATTGTGTCACAAATGATTGCGTCATCACACATTCAGCCAATCATAGCAAGAGAATCGGGGGGGGGGGGAGGTAGAGCTTAAAGGGACAGCCAACCACTGTTTACTCGCATGATGTCAAATACGTTAGTAGTCACAGGGAAGCTGTTTCACAAAATTAAGTTTGATCCTCTTATAAATGTATAATGCTGTTATACAAAACATATAGTATGCAACTAGTTTATAATGTTACTTTATTACATTCATGCAAATTTGAAAACTCGCTCCTAAAATTGCTAGTTTTCGAAACGTGCTCGTGCAATGAACCTTAACGTTATAAACTAATTGCATAAACTACTATTAGATCTTTGTTGGTCCTTGAAATTAAATAAATGTGTTCTCGTGGTTTATAATTGTGGCATTGTGTGAGCAATTGTATTTGTGAAATCCTGGGATTGTACAAGTTCAACTTTTACAACCTTGTTTCTTTCAGTGGCTTGCCATCAGGCATTGGTCAGCAGCAACAGCAGCAGTATCATCCTCAACCTCAGCGTCAACCACGTGAACGTGAGAGGGACAGAGACCATGCAAGAGAGCTTGCTGACCATGGGCCAGTGAGTCGAGTGAGTTGCAAACTTGGTTAGCCTTAACATTATATCTTGGTCAGTTTCTCACATGGTTTCTTTTAGACACTCTTGCTTTTCTCACTTTGTTTTCTGGATTATTTCCAGTTACTCTTTTTTGTTGTGATTATATTGTTTTCTCCCAAGATTATTCCATTTCCATATTTTACATAGCTTTGTTTAATTTTGGTTGCCAACCTTCCATATTTGAGGACTTTCATATTTAGTGTAGGCTTTCAATGATAATTCTGGTCTATCTTTAATTGATTTTAAGGAGATAATTCATCAAAGAATGTTGAAGTTCTTCAGATTATGTAGGGATGTTATCAAAAGTGACAAATAATGGGTTAAGTCAGAAATGCATGTAGAACCGCCAACTTTTTCTACATCTTGAAGTGATGGTTCAAAGAAACCAATTTTTACTTTCTCGCGTATCACTTGTGTAATGGTGTGAAGTTGTCTAATGCTGATTTCTTTCTAGAAAGTCTTATTCTAGGTCTCTGCTACTGAAATAGTGGACCATTCTTTTTCTACATATATTAAATCACTTCCTGACATGTGGTGTAGTCAGAATCCTTTTCTGGGGTAAAAAATTGGTTTATGGCAAAACGTCCATCAGGCTGCAACATTTGCATCAAAATTGATATTGCTTAATTGATCACATTGGTATTTTAATTTTTGAGGATGCATTAAATAAAACCTCAATGGTGTTTTCAAAATTCCTTTGGATATTTCTCCAATATTTTTTTATTACTCTTCTTTCCCCAGGTAAGAGTGAAGTATGTGAATAAAATGGTGAAGATCTCACTTTCATTGAACTCTCTGAATTTGAAAATGGTCAAAATTAACATTTTTTAAAAGTGTTTTGTACAATGACTAGTAGTTCTACTACTGAATATACTTTCTCATGTTATTGGAAACTGTTGTGTACAATTGAAGTATTGCATTTTCTACACTACTGACACCTCCCCCCAATAGTGCCAAATTCAATTCAAAAACAAAGCTCTGATGCATATCTGCATTCCTTTCAATAGTCAAAAGCAACAATCATTTCTTGCTTTGATGAAAAAACGGGAAGGCGTGTGACTGATACAGTATTAACAGCAAATTCTACAGAAGAGAGCAATGCATTGTTGCCAGCACAGCGTTGTAGAAACTGTGCATTCGCTTGGTGAATATAACAATTTTTTTGACATCGCTTATTTCCATCTGTATTCAGGTTATAACTTTTGATTAGTCGTAGTACATCATACACAGATGATAAACATCTCTTAATACTAATAAACTAATTGAATTACTAATATTCTCCAATTTGTTATATTAAGTTAATTACCACCGTCTTATATACTGACACCACCTGAAATGGAGTGCAGGAGAATTAAACTTTATGGTGGTAAGTTCGTTAGATTGGCCACTGTGAAGTTTATCCCTAAAATACTTTTATGAAAATATAATTCTGTTGTTGAAGACTGTAAAATCAATTTGACCCTTACTGTCCTTACTTTTTAATAAAAGGTGTTTAAATTAGTACAGGCTCTTATGGAAAAGCTTTTGCAAACATAGTTTTTTAAAGTTATACGGTTAAGGACTCTTTTTCTTTTATTCAATATGCGGTAATTTTTTAGGAATCGGTTGATATTAAATTAATGTAACATACCTCACCGGGCGTTCCGAGTTGTAATTTATGTTTTAAAAATCTGCGACTGTAGACGCCGTAGACTGAAAACTTTCCAGACATCAAAGTAAAGAAGCAATCTATGTGTCCATACTGCCCATGAAGCAAGGAGAAGAAAACCAAAACCATATGCTCATGGGCACAAATTTTTGTGCAGATCACAGAAAAAACAGTTGTGATTAATGATCAGTTTTATAAGGTTTTAATATTTAAGTGTTCAGGCTTTGCGTGTAGGAATAGTGGGAAATAAAAATTCTTCCGAAAGATCACAAAGTAGAAAGTTAAAGCTATCTAAAAATATTAATTTCAGAAATATTCAAAACCTGTGCATAAGAAAATTACATATACACTTGGAGTTACGGAATACCCGAAGTGAGTATTAATGTGGTAGCAAAATGGATGAGCAGTCTAGGGTTAAGAGCATTATATTCCAGCTTTTTGAGAGTGGACTGAAGTAAGAAATGTTTGTGGCGTAATAACTTGTTTGTTTATTATAATGTTTGAAAATATAATTTTCCTATGAGTTTTGTACTACAGTGTAAAATAAAGATAATATTAATGTTATCTGTTGCTCACTATATTTTTGTTTGAATCATATTCAGAGTTTTAAACCTTCATATTGGCTATTTTAAGTGCATGATTGCACGCATAATTTAACTTTTTAATGCGTATGTTCCAGGGTCTACTGATTACTAATAGTAGAGCATTGGAGCGAAACTAAATTTTTTCAAGCAAATATCCACACAAATATGACAATTATAACGCCTTTTCATACAGCTCAATCATGTCACAACAAGGAGACAAAATTCACAAGAATTCGCAAGTGACACGGAATCCCATTCTTGCATTCCCTACATTATTTCATTGTTGCAATGTTTAAGTTTATAGCAAAAGGTTGGATGAAAAAACGAACAAAACAATATTAAATAATTTACAAATTCTGACTTGCAAAGCATCCATCTGTGTGAAAATACTCATATTTTCCAAAAACATTACTTTCTTTGAAGATCTATTTTTGATAAAAACATTCATTAAGAAAAAAAATTGTTTTTTCACAATTATCATTAACCAGATGCCGAAAACATGGGGCAGTCAATTCGAGCAGGCTATTATACATGTGGTGAAATTACAAAAAAATTAAAATATTTTCCAAAAAATTAACAATACCTTTTTAAAGATCTGTTTTTTATGAACACAGTTCATGCAAAAATGGTGTTTGTAGGGAACTGTAGGGAGCCAAAAGTTTGTAATTTATTAAAATTTTCCATGCATTTTAAGCATTTCAATGGACATGAGTCCTAAACTATTAAGTGTCCATTATGCTATCTTCCCAATTGAATCAAAAAAAGGTATGAGGTTTTTAAGAAAAAGTGGTTAATATAATTTTTTTAAAAAAATATCACAAATATTACTGATTTTGGAAACATTTATCATTACCATGTTTCAAGATTTGTTATTGATGAACACATTTCACAAAGAAGAAAATTGTATCTTGACAATTATAGTTGTAAAAAGATGCAAAACAAATTTTGAATTTTTTCAATTTTCGAAAAATCAGGATTTTTAACCAACAAGAAGCCTACATCATTCTCTTAAAAATCCTTCAAACTATCCACCAACAATTTCATCAAAAACGAGCCAAAAAAAAAGTACGAACAAATTTGAAAAATGCTAATTTAATGAAAAAATGTACAATACCTTACTTTAAAATCTCAAAAAAAAAGGGACAAATTATTTAGGGGAAAAAATTCTTTAATATTTCAGTTCTAAGAAGGCCCTAATAAAGGTTGATTGTTATCAATTTTCAAAAAATTCGTGTTCAACTATCACAAAACCTGTGTCATTCTCTTAAACATCCTTCGGAGTATCCACTGACAAAATTTAATCAAAATCATTGCCACTGTTATTTTTGAGGCTGAAATCTAGTATACAGTATAACTTAAGACAGAAAGTCGTTTAATCTGACGCTTCGCGCCGGCGAGGGAGAAAGCCATGGTGGAGGGGCCGAGGGGTTTGTAATAGGTCACAAACGTGACTTCATAAGTTATGGGAAGCAATTTCACCCTAGTGTATTTCCGGAGCTCCATTATGAAATAGTGCTGTGATCATTGATGTGATAAACAAAGGTAATGTTTGCAACTGCGTAGTTTGAATTCTGAAGGCTTTCTTGTTAAGTGCTTTCTTATAAAAGTGAATTGGTAATTATACAGTGGGTAGACTCAAGGATGTTTAAAGCGAACACGAGGGCCGAAGGCCCGAGCCTCACCGTGACTTGGATACGGGCGTGCGAAGCGCGAAAACTTGCCTTTGAAAGTACTTTGGCATTACAATGCGACGGAGACAAAGGGTATGAAGTGCGTGCCATGAAAATTGCCTACGTTATATATTACTAAAATACTTTACTGGATACTAGGAAATATTACTAAAATACTTTACTGAAACGAATTTTGAAAATGTTCCGGGGGCTATAAGCCCCCCTCCCTCCTTTAAAATATAAATTTCAAATTTAAAGGGCCATGACATCAGCCAGATAGTTCTAGGAATATGATTTTTGAAGAATTCGGCTGAACAGTTAAGTTTCTACGGCAGTACATTCCTGAAGAGGATCGCTATATATCGGTCGAAACATCGGCACCTCAGCCTTCGACTCGGTGTCACCCGGACAGCCCAGATTTTGACTCTGGCCGCGGAAGCCTACGATATCAGTTAAGATTCTAGTGTTGTTTATGGATTTCTAACGGACGGTTTCACCAAGCAGAGTAAGTTTACTCTGGAGTAAATCATGTTTACTCGAGAGTAACTTCTTGGAGAGTTTCACCAACACTTTACTCGAGTGTAAATCGCTTTACACGAGAGTAACTTGACACGCGAAAATCCGTCGGGTAAAGTACAGAGTAAATTCAGTTTTCAACGTGCATGTACCTCCGAAGTGTTGGTTACGTGCGACGATTACGAATGATAGTATTTGTAGACAATTCCAGCAATGATTCGGAATATTATCCACTAGTGCGAAGACAAAGGGTGAAGAGAGAAATCGATTGGTTTTAATTATGATGATCGAGATTTTGTCATGAGGTTATGTTTGACCAAATCAGCTGTTTAACTCATCAGATACACTGTAAACTGTAGAGAACTTCTAAAGTTATTTTTCTCCCATGTGGATACGAAATAAAAGTAGTACGTACCGAATACAACAAAAGGAAAATAATAACTACAGAACTACAAGTACTAAGAAATATTCATTTATATTATTCAAGTAAAAACTGTATGTGATGTATGGGGGAGATCATTTGCCCACGTTTTCTTGAGTTCCAGAATCCCTTTCCAACATTTTAACTACAAATAGTTGAAAGGTGAATAAAAGTTAAAAAAAATAAAAACAAATAATAATAAAATTTAGAAAAACAAGAGTCAGAACATTGAGAAACTAAACATTTTCTGTCCCTAGTTATAGAAAATTAATTTGCACGCCATCGGTAAACGACTTCAAATTTGATTTTTTCTGCATTGCTAACAAAATAGTAACTCGTCTCCAGAGAAGAAGAATGAATATTTATTAAGAAATAAAGATACAGATACTAGGAAATAAACTATGCTCACTCAAACCACCATAACACCACACCAGATTATAACGCCAAAAACTCCGAAACTGAAATGAAATATAGAATATAAGAATTAATCAAAGGTTCGCGTTGGTCCGCATTGGTTCCCAGCTCACAGCCTTCTGAATCACTCTCAAATATTGTGTGTTCAGCCGATTTGCGGAGTAAATAGGAGAGTATGTACTCTAGAGTAAAATAACCCTCTAGAAGCATGATGAAACGCTCATATTCTTCTCGAGAGTTACTATCTTGGAGTAAATGGTTACTCTCGAGTAAACTACTCTCAACTTTACTCAGCTGTTGGTGAAACCGGCCCTAAATCGCTTACACTGGAGTAAATTCGAGAGTAACTTAACACTGCGAAAATCCGTCAGGTAAAGTACGGAGTAAGCAGTTTTCAACGTGCATGTACTTCCGAAATGTTATGGCTCGACGATTACGAATGATACTATTTGAAGATTCCGGCAATGATTCGGAATATTATCTACTAGTGCGAAGACAAAGGGTGCGGGAGAGAGTGGATTGGTTTTAATTATGTCGATCCAGATTTTGTCACAAAGTTGTTTGATCAAATCAGCTGTTAACATCATCAGATGCACCGTAGAGAACTTTCTTTTTCACCCATGTGGATACGAAATAGTTAGTACGTACCGTATACGATAACAAAAGGAAAAATAAGTACAAGGACTACAAATACTTAGAAATATTTTATTTAGTAAAAACTGTATGTGATGTATGGAGGACATCATTTGCGTAAGTTTTAAAGAGTTCCAAAATCCCTTTCAAACATTTTAACTACATATAGTTGAAAGGTGATTAAATGTTTAAAAAATAAAACAAATTATAATAATATTAATAATAATAATGATGATGATGATAATTATGATAATACAATTTAGAAAAACGCGAGATCAGCAACATTTGAAAAACTAAACATTTTTCGTTCCCAAGTTACAGAAAATTTATTTGTACCGCCATCGGTGAACAAACTGCAAATTTGATTTTTTCTGCATTGCTAACAAAATAGTATTTCATTTTCATAGAAGAAGAATGAATATTTATTAATAAAGATAGAGAAACCAAAAATAAACTATGCTAACTCATATCACCGTAACCCCACACAAGATGATACACCATAAGCCAAGACACTGCCAAATATTCAGAAACTGATATGAATGATAGAATATTATGAACAGATAGTGGATTAATCAAAGGTTCGCGTTATCGACTTTTCGGTATCAAGAATCCACAAAACATGGACTCTGGCTGCACATTGTGTAAGAGGATATTTTCCTAAATTTAGCAACTGGATTTTTCCACTTTATAATTACCAGAGGCCTGTAATAAGTTTTACTTCTGATAACTTGCCATGTTTTAGAACAGCAATACATAACTTTTTCTTCTTAAGAAGTTCCTTCTTAAGCGCGAGAAAGTAATATCGAAGATTGCTTTTGTTCAACATTCAATCTGTTCATCAAACAAAATCTCTTGTTCCAAAAATAAATTAAATCTGCTTTGACATTTCCTTTACAGCCACCTCATCAAGTTCAACATCCTTCCCAAAAACAGCAACCACAGCAACAGCAGCAGCAGCAGCAACAGCAGCAACCTCGTGGGGGATGGGGCAATCGTGCCAGGCGTGCCAGACCTCGTGGATCAACCGGAAACTTCAATAGGCAGCAGGGTGGTGGCCCGCAGCAGGGCAATCAGTCAAACAAACCCAAAAACACACTTAAGTTTGAGAATGACTATGATTTTGAGCAAGCCAATACCGAATTTGAAGAACTTCGAAATCAACTTTCTAAAGCAAAAATTGGTAAGATTGGACATTATTACAGATAGACTGAGTTCGTGTGTGTGTGCGTGCGTGTGTGCGCGTATATATATTTATATATAATATAAAAACTTAAAGTACTGCTAGGAAATAATACACCGAACTTAACTCTTTTTCTTCTTGAACTTGAACTTAATAGTTCCAACATATGAAATGAAGGGGGGAAATTAACTTTAGACATTGAACTGTCATTATGAAAAATGCAGGTATAACAAACATTGTAGGTTTTCAAAATTATATTCAGAACGTAGCCAGTTTTCCTGTGTTTTATATGTAAACTAAAACAAATTTTAATTTTTGCCGGAGAGTCAAACTTTATTCTTCTGAAAATAAAATTGGAATTCATTCCTCTTCAAATAAATATTTTTCTTATATTGTACATTAGTCTTTCAAGCTATTCTACTATAGAGTTATGAATGCAATAGGTGGAGGTGTGCACATGTTCCTATGGAGTTTTATTGTTTGAGTATGAGCTCAAAAGATTACAAAATAAAGACATTAATATTTTGATTGATTGTTGATTGTCAATTGTATCCATTGGAAACTCATTAAATACTTTCTTATCCATCTCTTTCACTGTGGTTATTACTATCAAGGAGATAAGCCAAAAATAATTAAATTTTATGAAAAATGGTCCCCAAAAAATGCAAATACTCTACTTCATGATTTCATATTCATTAATATCCATCTAAGTCACATTCTCATGCATAAATTCATATTGAAGTAAATTAGATCTGAAAATGGATATTCACTTGTTGATGTCCTTAAGAATTGGCTTTTGTCATTCAATGAATTTTCACTCTAAGAAAATAGAGGTTCCCCACAATTTTGTTGTACTGGTATTTTACTGTATATTGTGGATGCCAACATCAGTTATATACTTTTAGACTACTTTAAATTTGTTTCCTTTTTCCTGAATTATAATCACCTTGTTTTATCATTTTGTTCTTGTCAATCACTCTCAATGTAAATAGTCATGTCAATCACCATTCCTCTGATGCGTTAGGGCTCCTTGTTACATTTTTCCATGAGTAACCTTCTTGACATCTGCCAACACTACCTGCAAGACCACTTCTCATTTCCAGGTGTTTTCAGAACTACATAACAACCAGGATTTACCTGGGTCCCACATGTGACCTCACTATCATTGTGCCCATCTGCCCTTCCTGCTCAGAATTTTTTCAGTGCAATACTTTACGAAAAGAGATGAGATAAATCCCAGATTTTCAAAAGATTAAAACAAAAATAATATAAGTCTTATATTCTGGTGAATGTAGTGATTGAACTTTTTTTGTGTGTTTTCACGGTCTTGCTGTCATTCTTTCCTAGATTTCTTGCACAATTTTTTTGAAATGTGGAGAACAGTTTTTTCTTCCACTTGTATCATTTTACAGAACAAGTGGTGCCACTCCACGAGAGTGGCTCTATTTGTTTCTAACTCATGTTGGATTGCATGTTGCAGCAGATACTGAACCTGTAATTGCAGGTGATGGGAAGGTGAATGGAGATAGTGAGAAAAAGGATGATTCGGGCAATGAGACATGTGCTGGAGAGAATGAGCATGAGGAAGAACATGAAGTCTTCTATGACAAATCAAAGTCTTTTTTTGACAACATTAGTTGTGAAGCAGTGGAGAGAAGCAAAGGGTGAGTTCTTTCTAAATATATACTCACATACTTTTTCACTGACTGCAAATGGTTGTGTAATATAAAACTATTGTAATTTTTGCCACACTAAAAGCTGGGTTATAATGTGAAAAAGTCTAATTCAAATGAATCGTGTCTGGTGTTTAACTGTATTTCCATTGTCGGAAAGAGTGATCATTTCTTACTTTTATAAATTAAACGAACATGAATAAATTTAAATGTTACAGTATTTACAAATAATAATACAGAAAAGTAAAAATAATTTCACACGGGTCTACCTTGATTAATTTGACATGAGCTTTCAATTTTTTAATACCATGAGTACCTAATATATAGGATATGTGTTAAGTACACATGGTATGGTAGGTAGTGTGTGCCAAAAATAGAACCATCACCATCCTTACAGATTTTTGCTACATACTAGGATAAAAATGAATTTTAAATTACGTTCATCTAAAATACTGCAAGAAATACTCAAATTTTTGAAATATTGAACATGACCTAATTTGAAGAAGTGTTTGATGAACACATTTGATTAAGAAGAAAATTTTATCTTCAAAATTGTAAGTTTTAGAAAAAGGCCAAAATTTCTTGGATATTGCAATTTTGAAAAAATCAGGGTGTTTTATGAAGCAAGACCTGTACTGTTCTCTCAAATGTTTTTTCACACTATCCAACAACAAAATTTAATGAAAAAACAATGGATCCATTGTTCTGAAACTTTTGAAAAGTTCCCAGGGGCCTAATGTAAAAGTACGCCCCAAAATTAAAATATTGGTTTCAAATTTCAGGAGTCGCAACATCAGCTAAATAAAGTTTAGAGAAAGTGAGCTGAAAGGTTTCATCACTAGTGTTGTTCAGATGGACAGACAGACACTCAGATGTTTTGCTGTCGTTAGATTTTTTGGTATCGAGGACTCACAAAAACATGGATTCTGGCTGCACTATTCGTCAGAGAATTTTTTTATTTTTTCCTCTTCTATATAAGCAACTGCACTTATCCTACTTCTGTTACCAGAGTCTGGCAATGAGTTTTGCAGCTGAAAATTCAGTTTTTTGGTACAGCATTAGATAACTGTCTTCTTAAGGGCAAGAAAGAAAAATGTAAAATTAATAATTCCATTTTGAGATAAAATTGGTAAACTCAAATTTTTCGATTTTTCAGATTGTGAAAATGAAATTTTAGATTTAGATTTAATCAGTCAAAAAACAGTAAAAACTATGTGATGTAGGGGGAAAAGATTATCTGTGCACGTTTTGTTGAGTTCAGAATCCCTTCCAGTCATTTTAACTATAAATAGTTGAATGGTGAGAAAAAGTTTACAATGAATGAATAAATTTTAAAAATTGTAAGATTAGCAATATTTGAAAAATAGTCATTTTCGTTTCTGAGTTATAGAAAACTTATTTGCATCGATACATGAATTTTTATTATGATTTTTCTGCATTGCTAACAAAATAGCAACTTGCCCTTACCTGTCAGATAATTCCATTTTCAGTATAAAATACAGAAAATACTGCAGGAGACAATGCCCACTCCGATGTGAAGTATCGTTAATTATTTAATTTTATCACTCTCTTGATGAACTACTTTTTAACTCTCTATGTATGGGAAATAGTTTGTCAATGGTCAACAAAAAATTGAAGGTCTGGAACTCTTGCCAATTGTTATCTTTGGTTTATTAACCCCCTTCAGTTTGACTTTGAGGGGTAAGAATACTGAAGGCTCAATTAAATATGTAACAGATGAGATATATGGTGCAATTGATGATGGAATTCCTATTATTTCAATTTTTTTAGACCTTGTGAAAGCCTTTTACACGTTAATCATGATATATTGCTACGTAAACGTGAACACAATGGTTTTAGGGGCATAGCACATAAATTAATAATGAGCAATTTATCTAATCAGAAACAAGTTGTTAAAATAAGCAAAACAAGCAGCGAAGAATCAACTGTTACTTACAGTGTTCCACAAGGAACAATCTTAGGACCCTTACTTTTTGTTTTATATTTAAGATTCATTTTCTGTCTTGCCTAATGGTTCTATAATCTCTTACGCAGATGACACTTACATGATTGCCAAGGCACAGTCGTGGACAGATGTATTGCTTATAACAGAGCTTAACTTGGAAAAAAATGGTAAAATGGCTATTCTTCGATCTATGCCACAACACCTCCAAAACTATTTCCAGCCTGTGGTAGTTACTTAGACAGTATACTAATAAACCGTGCCTTGGAAATGCATAATATCACATGCAACGGTACTAGGTATAATTGTCTTGCAATAGAAAGAGTGTTACTAACCAAATATCTAGGTAAATATGTCGGCTGCAACTTGAAATGGGGATCAGCACATATTATAGAGATTTTCAAAATATACTCTCATATATTCATTTTCTACAAATTGTCAAAAATGTTCAATAAAAACATTTGCTTACAATATATTATTGTGTTCTTTTTGTTGATGATAGCTACATACAGTATAATTGCTTGAGGAGGGGCCTATAAAAAGTGTCTAAACCTGTTCAAATGATCCAGAAAAACTTCGTGTTGTTTTTTTTTTTTTTTTTTTTTTTTTTTTTTTTTTTTTTTTTTTTTTTTTTTTTTTTTTTTTTGTAGGCATTATTCCTCAGAAGAATTGTTTAGGGAAAATAACATCTTTTTGTTAGATTTTTATGTTAAGAGTATCTGTAATTATACTGCCCTGAGTTAATAGATTGGTGAACATTATTATAAGCAAGATGCATATAGAGTATTTAACCTGTTTAGTTGGGAACTGAAGAGACTAAGTATGAACTCCCGAAGGGATAAAAGACTGTTCACAATGGTTCAAAAAGGGATAAAAGACAATGGTTCGTAAATCTGAAAAACTCCAAAAATGTCTTAAACTAATTTATACATATGGGCATAATTTTACCAACATAGTTATTTTTCCATATTCAATTTCTCTACCTTTCTTGAACTTCCATTAAACAGAGCCTTTAATTACAATCAGTCTATATAATTTTAATGTAACTTATCCATTGTTAATTTAAACATAAAAATTAGTTTCTTTTCATTCATTTTATATTTTAAATTTGAGGTTTCTTATTAATTCTTTATTTTAAAAGTGATATTATTTTATGAGAAAATGGTAAATTCTGTGCTATTATGTCTCGTGCACAGGACTGTGTCCTTAGCAAGATAGAAAATTGTGTATATGTTGTACATTCACTTTGTATATTACAATTATTATATAACAATTCAGCATTGTGAAAAACAACGGAGGAGAAAAAACTGCCTAGTAAAATTCACTATTATAGTATATTTGAAGTGTTGGGAGAGATTCTGTAATGCTACAAACAATTAATGACGAGAGAAATATGTTTTACAGCCTTCAAATAATTTTCTCAAAACGGCTTTTCATGTTTTAAAAATTTTTGATTAAAGTGTTCAGAGCCAATGAGACACTAGGATTCGGAAGTGAATTTGCTGTCAGCAAAAATGTGTGTAGTAGTATTGAAATATTGCAAAAATTTCGTATAAAATTATAGATTGTAAATTTATTCATTGTTATAATGAAAAGCTGTTTTCCACTTCACTCTATTTCTGTGAACTAAGCAATTATATTTTTATGATTTGTTTTTCTTTTCCTTCCCAGGCGATCGCAGAGAACAGATTGGAGAACTGAGAGGAAACTGAATTCGGAGACTTTTGGTGTGGCCTCAGCGAGGAGAGGTGGCTACCGAGGTCGTGGTTTCTACGGTAACAGAGGGAACATGTTCAGAGGTGGAAAATTCCGTGGTAATTTCCGTGGCCAAGGAGGTGGCCGTGGAGGTGGTGGCAGTGGCACTGGTGGTGGAGGTGGTGGTGGCAGTGGAGGTGGAAGTGGACGTCCCAACAACCCTGGAAATGCTCCTGTGGCTCCAGTTGTACCTGTTGCTGCAGTTGTTGCAGTTGCACCCGGCGGAAGCTCTGGTGCTCCTGGAGCAAGCACTGTCAGCAATGCTCAAGCACGACCCGCAGTAGTAACAGCAGCACCTGCTGCTGCAGTTCAGAGTAAGTAAGTTTTTGCTTTATGCTCCAAAAAGATCCATTTTGCTGCTCTTACTCTTTAAAAAAAATTATAATATAAATATATATTCATTTATTTTGTTGCCACAATTTGAACACGGAAGGTTCTGTATATTAAAACTATAGACTTTGGTGTATCTACATAGTACTCTTGCTATGCTTAAAAGGGAACTTTGCAATGATTAGAAAACCATTTTCTGGAAATTTTATTTTGTGTAATACTATTCAACATTTGGTTATACTGTAAGAATTGTGTTGGACCCTAGGCGTCCATGTCATAGCTCTAATTTATAGTGTACAGGGCATTATTTAATTTATTTCAAACTTGTTAAGAATAAACCATTTCGCAGCCAGTTTTTAAAATTTAGCATTTGGTTCTCTTCAAGCATATTCAAATGAATCTCGTAGGTAAATTTCTCGTGTGATTTTGAAGAGCAAGTCTTACTTGTAAAATATGGGAGGGGGGGAAGGATAACACAATACGTTTAGTTTCTTTCTTAATTCAACTGGTTTTAAAATGTACAAATAAATGATACACATTATTTCCTGAAGGATTTCTCCTTCAGTGCAAAACTGTAGACCTACTTATAATATTAATATTTTATTCTTCATGCACTAGAATAGAGAAGAAAACTAAAGTTATACATTAATATTGCCCAAAATCAAACAGGATTTGTGCATCAGAATAAAACAAAGTTCTACATCTGCTGGTTCTTTCTATTACACTATTGCAATTTGTAATGTAATAATTCTTTGCACCACATAAAATATTACATAAAACAAACACAATTTTTAAAAATTCCTAGTTTATAATGAATTAATTTATAAGCACAAAGAAAATATTGAAGAAAAAATTGACAGTCGGCCTGTTTGTGGATTAGTTTTTGTCTGTGTGTGTCACATTTTTCTGTAATTGTGAGTAAATTTCTTCATAAGATTCCTATGAATTTGCTTCTTCAATAATTTTTGAAATGCAAATGGTAAGAGAGCGAAGAGGCTTAAAAATTTCTCTAAATTTCCCTTTATTTTGAAGTTGCCTCAAATTACTAATGGATTCCTGAGTTGATGAAATAGTGATTAAATATTAATGTTTTTAGTACTTTGGTTAAACTGTTTTGATAATAACTATTATTTCTGATCCCAAGAAAAACTGCCTTTTGTTAGAGAGTTTGTGCTAAACATTGTAAAGTTTTCCTTGAAACCATCAATCATTGCAGATGAATACTGTCAGCTTGATTGGGGGTCAGCAAATAACATGTATTGCTAATTGGCATTTGGTCATGTATAAAGTATGGTATCACAGTGAAGAAGAAAAGGAGGAGGGGGGGGGGGGAAGCAGGCCATCCAGGAGAAGGCAAAGTTTTGCCCAGCAGCCAATGTGGAGAAGTAAATGCAGTTCATACTTAAAGAAAACCCCGATCTAAGCCTCTTTCTTCTTGCTGATTTGATGGCGATAGTTGCACAGAATAATTGTGCCTCCTTCATATTGATAGGTTATTGATCATAGATTAACAGACCGCAAACCGAACATCAGTTGTATTATATGAAATGTTAAAAACCTATATTGGTCACATGTGACTTTAACACATGTTATCATGCAAACCTGGTTTGTTAGTTGCACTTTTACCTATCTGTATGTTATAACTATTAACATACCTAGAAATGTTATGAGAGCAGAACCAAAGGTTAAAAATAGAACGCAACTGAGATTTTCTATTTGGAGGAGGCAGTTATATAACTGTAATATTTCGTGGTATGTTAAAGATTTTCTTGGTCACCATAAAATCTCTAGATTTATACAAAATTTACATTTCTGCGATAGTAAAGAAATACATTTTGTTGCGGCACATTACTACGATATGATGAGGTTTTGCCAGTGAGTTCTGAATTGTTTGAATCTGATATCTGCAAAACATCACCAGATTTCTTTTAATAAACATTTGGCTTGCGATGGATCGATGGTTGTTTATTTACATAGCTAAGGATATTAAAACCCATTGCTAAGGATGCTAAATTTCTTAATATAAGGATAGGTACAATTTTGGGAACTTCAGTCCTTTTGAATTTGGAGATGTTTCTCATCGCTGCATCATGAGACCTGGCGTCACCCTACATGTTGTTCGGGGGGGTCTTCTCTTGCTTTGTTTTGCGCTTTTTAGTAATATCACATTTCTGCAGTTATAGGTACAATAAACTACTTTTCACTTTCATCACAAAAAATCATAAATGGTGAAATCTGGTGAAAGTGTAGACCATTTGGACAAATCTCCCTGCCTTAACAATTGGTTTGAACATTCTTTGTTCAAAATTATCCTTATCCTTTTACAGGAATGGGAAAAAATGTACAAAAGGCCAAACATATGGTGGTGGGAGGTATGCCCCTTGATTAGACTAGTGTAGGAATAATTGAAGGTAATACATACTATAAGTATTTGGGATTTCTCACTAACAGCAGATGGTAGATGAACTTCCTGTAAATAAATAATGATACTTCCTGTCTGTTCATTTTTGTACTACAAAATCATAATGTGAACACATTGGATTTTCTTAATTCTTTCTATGCCATGTGAGGAATGATGACTGTAATGACAACCCCGATCTGCAGTAGATTTCCTTCTATGATTAAGTCCATGTCAGCAATGTCTCTTTGAGCATTCCATTCATATTGCTGGTTTTCAGGTACATTGTTTGATTGTTGATTTCAAAGAAAACTTTATTACTTTGTGTATAGGGCAATCCTTTTTGTGATTTCATAAATTTAGTCATATTCTTTTCCCTCGCAGAAAAACAAGAGGTGTTGAAGTATGTTTGTGATATGAGCTGTTGATAAATGTGTGCGAGATAGCTCTTTCTGTTCAAAGTGATACAGAAATCAATTTTGGATTAATATAATTTTCATGGCAAGGTTTGTGAACATAGACCGGGAGCCAGCAAGATAACCCATGTATTATAAGCTCAAAGCTAAAACTTTTCAAGTAGTTTGCCAGTGTTATAAGGAAGATGGTGGCCTGTAGGTGGTTGCGCTGTGAGTTTTTTTGAATGTGTCCAAAAAAAATGCTCCTGGGAAAAAAGAGTACATAGCTAATTCTTGTTGTATATTGTTTGTAAGTCTGTGTGTACAAAGTGTAAAGGCGTTGTATGTCGATGTGCTGTCTCAAACTGAACACAATTTATAACCTCTTGTGTTACATGCTGAAAACATTTTTAAAAATCTAATTATTGAAAAGTATTTTTCATTGCCGATAATGGCCATGCCATTGCAATGTCTTTTAGTAGCCACCATACTGGTTCAAAGATGACAAAGACTTCTGTATCAAGGGTACAATTGTGGTGACCCATTTTGATAAATAGATGTAATGCCATACTGATAAGATATTAAATGGCCACCTTACTGGAAACTTATCTTTTTGGAAATAGCTTTTTTGATCACATGCAAAACTTCAGCTTATCATTTTTTCCTGTACAAGAAATGTTTTACTTAAGACTACTTTGGTTGTAAGTTAAAAGTAAGTTAAAAAATGTATTTTAATACCTAATTGAGTTCAATATATCAATTGAGAGAGAATCTTTTAATAGTGATGAGGGGCTGCTATTGGCAAAATGCATGATGCTATAGAACCATGATGGCCTTTAGGGTTGTTTTGGCTTATTTTTCTGGAAACTCATTTGAGTACTTCAGGAATGATCTGCGCCAACTAGAGAGGTTCTGAAAACTGTAATAGATCCATTTGGGCGGGACAAAATAGAAAAAGTAACCCTAACGTAAAAGAAACTGATACTAACTAGTATGAGAGTATGTGCCATTTTTGTAGGAACACAATTTTTTCTTGTGCTTAACAGAATTTAAATCACTACTCTAAGAATTTCTGCATTTAATTTGAAAAGTGAAATCCGATTTTGAAGGAATAAAGCTAAATATCTGACAGTTACTGTAATTACATTCCATTTTGAAAAAAGATCAGATCAGACTTCTTTTATCAGGAAGCCTGGCTATGAAGAAAGAAAAGGGGAGAGAGCAGGAGGGTCGAAAACCAGCAAGTATTTTCAAAATAGTTCAGTGTATTGTGTTGCATTTCTTGGATTTTATGAAGTATAGCAGAGGAAATCTGTAGTCATACTTGTAGTAGTATTGGTGAACATTTTTACTTTTCCTGAGCTAGATGTAATAATGCTTCAAATACCAATTTAATAACACTCTGGCCAGTAGGAACTTCTGCTTTTGTTTGTTACGTTTGTCTGTACTTCTAGGTTAGTCTGGGGGGGTCTAAAACATAATTACTGGCTCTTAATTAATGCTTGAAATAATCTATTGAAAGCTAAATTGCAATTGCTAAAATTAGTATTTATTTCTGGCCTTTTTAATTATTTTTTCTTTCTCACTATATAACCTCATGGGTATAAATAATCTCTTCTGTTCACAGGTAAATGAAATTACTTGCGGCATCTCTATTACCAAGAAGGAAATTTCCAAAAGAATATTTAAGTTTTTATCACTTGCTACCCACAAGAAGAAAAAGTGGGCTGCATTTATTTTCAGTGAATTCAATGAAACGTAATATACAAGAAGTATTGGTGTATTCAGAATCACCTAAAATAATTATTTTATAAAATGCCCTTAAGAAGTGCATTGCAATTCCGGTATTTTTTTTTTTTTTTAACAGATGGAATCTGAGATAGCTGTAAATCAGCTACAGATCAATTATGTTCCTTGTTATTGGAAGGACTTTTCTTTCATTTGGTGCACGAGAAGGTAGTTTTTCTTTCTTACTGAAATGAGCCAATGTTTTGTAACTATTTAAGTTATTATGTTAGGGATGTTTCCAAAAACATGGTTAAGGATTCATCCAGAATTTAATTCTTTCACTGTGTAATGGGTAACATGTTTGCTAGAAATTTTATTTTTCCCTGGTGAAAAGAAACCCACATAAATTGTGGAAGAGGGAGGAGATGTAAAACAAAAATAGTTTTATTAATTTGATTTACAGCCATATTGTATTACATACTGGTGGTTTGTATTTCTGGAATAGGTTCAGTGCATTGGAAATTTGTTCTTGTGGATTTGTTGGTTAATTTGAATTAATATTTAAACAAGCATGAAACTGTGATGCATATTGTCCAGCTTTCGTGATAGTTCAGTTTAATGTATTTAAAGCAACTTTGACAATGTTAGAGAACAATTGTATATGTATAGGACTTGGAATCTAAATAGACCCTAATTGACTGTAAGTGCACAACATTGACAGATGACAGATGTGCAATTTCAAAAAGTTCATTTATGCTCGAAGTTTGTAATATTCTGGTCAAATTTCCTACAGAGTTTGTACATATTTAAAAATGAAGTGAATACGTAAGCAGCACAAAATCTCTGCTGATGTAGTAATGTTTTGATAGTCCTGTGGTGAATGATGTGTAGGATGGTTCTTTACAGTACGTCAAAGTACAAAGAAATATTTTGTAATGTGTAAGTAGAAGACTGAAGCACTGTCTGAATTTGCATCTTCTCACATAGTGAAATTTGGCAATAGATTCTGCATATAATGTCACAATGGAGGAGAGCTATTAAATAAGAGACTTATGCTTCCTGGCAGTCCTTGCATAATATTTAACACTGCTTCTTTCATTTGTATTGTGAAGGGAGTTATTTATATTAAGTTCAAATGTTTGGTTCTATGGAGGGTGCTCATATTACAATGGCTGTAGAATATTTTAAGGTTGTACGTACATTTTTCAAAACAATTGTATGGACTCTTACTGCCTGGCACTTACATGCTATATCAGAGTGTTTTTTCAAGACTGGAAGAGAAAAGTATTTTTATTACTTTGGGAACATCTTAGTAATGTGTAAACAAATATTATGCATTGTGATTGAACATTGTGATTTTTTTCTTTTGCAATAAATTTGGTTTTTTGTATTTGTGTGAAATTAATTACCTCCTGTTCCTATATAAATGAACTGCAAATTACCACAAAAGCAGTCAGAATCAGTGCAAGAATTTGTGTCTTCTAATTACACATGGGTACTGATTATGTCCAATATTTTATGCCTCCTTTTAAGTGGGTTTAGTTTTATGTACAGCTATTTAAAGAAGTTGGCTCATTAAATGTGTAATAGGTTAACCATATTTTTGAATTATAAATTTATGTTTAAGACTAAAAGGTTTGTTTTTAATGGAAAATGTCCCCCAGAAAATTATTTTGAACATTGTTGCTTGCCTGTTACCAAGCAATAGGGGAGGGTGGGAGTTTTATAATACTGATAACAGCATTTTAATGTAATGCTAACTCTATTGGAAGAACTCTCACTAAAAAATTAATTTGAAATTGAACACATGAATAGGCTTTATGTAATGATCGCTGAATTCTGAAGCTTGACAGCAGGAACTACTTTAGAAGGTTGTAAGGTCGTTTTTCTAAGCTTGTTTTGTTTAGTGCAAGATGTAATTCGGAAGAAAGTTTTAAGCCCTGACCTTGTGTCAAATTTCTTATTTTGATTTTGTGAGAGTTTTAAAATGTTAGATTTATATGCTTTGTTGATATAGGAAGAAAGTTCACTATGTTGTAGATACTGAGGTGTTGCGGATTCCTGCATTCTCTGAGAGATCCAACTGCCTCTTGTCCAATGCCACACTCGTCTTCCCATGAATGATCTTTGTGTTTCAATAACTTTCTAAAGAATATTCGAAAATAATGTATATTTTCTGCACAGACTTCAAAACTTGTTTACTTCAGTGTATACATTTTGTATTGAGCCAATATGGGCCATCTAAGTTTGATTTGATTTGTCTGAATACACCAGACAAGACTGTATTCCATCTATTTTAAAGAAAATATATTTAGTGTATTACTGGCACGTATTTTGTCCACTCTAATTTTGAGCCCTTTTACCTGCCAACTGCCCTGAGTCTTGTGCAGTTGCAATGCAATATTTATGGTTTATTTTAGTGAGTAATTGTAGATTAAGTTGTTTGCATACTTTTTTTTTATTATAGCATCGCTTGTAATATTTTTCTTAGTACTTAAATAATTGCAAGCCAGTCTCTCTGACCTTTCTTTAAAGTAGGGTAGGTCATGTAGACAGCCCACTTGGCACAGTGTTTATCTGTAGGCAATGGTAACCTGTTGCTTATCAACAAAACTTGTGAGGTGGGGAGGTGCATAGGGGCTTGAAGCTAGTTTAATGAAAGGCAAGTGGTATGCAGGCAACTCCAGCGAGTCCCAATTCTTGTGTTTGAACAGCTCTGCTGAAAGGATATTTCCTGTTTAAATTTTATTCAACATTGCCTGTAAATCCTTGTACTAAATTGTATCTGTGTAGTCTCTTCATACATACAGATTCATATACACAGTCTCTTCATACATACAATACTTCTGTTTCTCCTGTTTTTGTTCG